GATTTCAGGCTATTTCCAAGGACAAGCTTTCACAAACTTTAAACAGTATTGTTTAGGAACGGAATCATTACCTGTGGATCTCTATGTAGTTCTGAGTGATATCCTGCAAGGCGCTGGAAATATTACTGATATCTTTCCATACTTTATGAGTCATGCCAAGGAAATATTTCCACATCTTGATTGCTTAGACGATCTCAAAAAGATTAGCGATCTACGAAGTCCTGCTACTTGGTAAGAAAAAAATATAAATTTACATAATATTAAAGTTATCAAGATTTTTATTATCTTATTAATATACAGTTACTATATTATTATTTTAAGTAGTTTATAATGTATTTTTTAATATATCAAGAAAAAAAAGATTGTTTTCTACAAAAGTAACAAAATTTGATTATTCTTTAGGTATCCTCTAGCAAGAGCGAAAAATAGAAAAATAATTTTTCACGCTGGACCAACAAATAGTGGAAAAACTTATCATGCTCTAGAAAGATTTATTACCGCAAAAAGTGGGGTATATTGCGCACCGCTAAAGTTACTGGTTGCAGAAGTATTTCATAAATGCAATGAAAGGGTATATATATTTTTTTTAAATTATAGTCATCAAAGATAACATAAAAGTATAATAATTTATTTAACATTATTTTTTAGGGAACACTGTGTGATTTATTAACTGGAGAAGAACGGAAATATGTCAAAGGCTATAATAATCCAGCAGATCATTTATCTTGTTCTGTAGAAATGGCAAATTTACAAAATAATTGTGAGTACTGTGGCATCTTAATATTTACACAAGAAAATACGATCATAATCTATTGCAGATGAAGTAGCAGTGATAGATGAAATTCAATTAATGCGTGATCTTAGTAGAGGCTGGGCGTGGACAAGGGCCCTTCTAGGAATTCCCGCGGATGAAATACATTTATGCGGTGAAGCTGCTGCTATAGAATTGGTATCTTTTATCTTTGCATTATATATTTACGAATTATGTTTTAATATTTTGACCTCTATTAACTAAAAGCTATGTATAGGTAAAAGCTATATGCGTTTCAACGGGTGAAAACGTAGAAGTTCGCAGATATAAACGATTAACGGAGCTAAAGATAGAAAACCGAGCTGTCGAAACATTGAATAACGTTATGCCGGGAGACTGTATAGTCTGCTTTAACAAAAACGATATATATACTATGTCGCGTTCTCTCGAGAGCAAAGGAAAAGAAGTGGCTGTAATATATGGCAGCTTACCACCAGGTACCAAGCTGGCGCAAGCTGCGAAATTTAACGATCCTAACAATTCTTGTAAAATCTTGGTAGCAACCAATGCCATTGGAATGGGTTTGAATTTGTAAGTTTTATACACGCATATATTAAATTTGAATCTATATGCTTATTATTTGAGGTTTTAAGTAGTATAGGTGCATATAATTGAAAACGATCATCTTAAAAGTATCATATATTGTTGTAGACATATTCGAAGAATTATATTTTATTCGTTAATTCAACCAACATTTAATGAAAAAGGTGAAAAAGAAATGGACGTTATATCTGTGTCAGCGGCTTTACAAATAGCAGGTCGTGCCGGACGTTATGGCACAGTTTGGGAGACAGTAAGCAATAATCTAATTTATTTCTGAACATCACAAGAAAGACAATACAGAGAAAAATGTGGAAATATTAAATTATAGTAACCCTACGCTTACATCACAGGGCTATGTAACTACATTTAAACGAGAGGATTTATCAACTTTGAAAAATTTGTTGAGTCAAATACCGGAAACAATAATACAAGCTGGTCTCCATCCAACGGCAGATCAAATTGAGCTGTATGCTTATCATTTGCCAAACTCGTCATTATCAAATTTAATGGTAGATTTCGCATGGAGATGACAATGGAATTAATTGTGATGAATCGTAAATAATGCTGCTTTTAATGTTTTATCTATTTTAGGATATTTTTGTATCATTGTGCACAGTCGACAATTCCCTTTATTTTATGTGCCACATAGATGACTTTAAATTCTTAGCCGATATGATACAGCATGTTTTATTGCCACTCCGTGCAAGATACGTATTTTGTTGTGCACCGATTAATCGGAAATCGCCATATGTGTGCACCATGTTCTTGAAGGCAAGTATTATATTATTTATGAATATAATATTTCTTATATATATGCTACTTATATAAGTATATATTATATATATATGTATAAAAAAATATGTAATAGTTAAATATATATATATATACTATTTATATAAGTATTATAGCATTATATATATATATATATTACTTATATACTGACTGTTAAAGCTAATAATTAAAATGCTATTACGGAAAAAGAATTGGTATTAATATAAGATCTGCTTTATTTTTAGAAAATAAAATTTTAATTTTATCCTTATATTTCTAGTAGTATACATAAATATGTATTTTTTTCAGTTTGCACGTCAATACAGTAAAAATGATGCAATAACATTCAACTGGTTATGCCAACACATCGGATGGCCCTTTCAAATGCCAAAAACTATCATCGATCTAGTCCATTTGGAAGGCGTCTTTGATGTATTAGACCTTTATTTATGGCTAAGGTATAATGAGATTGTATTATTCTTAATTATAATTATTTTTTTGACGTTCTCATTTGCATTATCTTATATTTTGTAGTTATCGTTTCATGGATCTGTTCCCGGATGCTGAAATGATTCGTGACATTCAGAAGGAACTCGATGCACTCATTGAGGCAGGAATAGTTAAATTAACAGCTTTATTGTTTAATTCGGAAACAGGTGAGTGTGATTCTTTTTGAAACGTAACATATTTACAATACAATTTAAAATCTTTCATGCATAAAAATATACGTGCATGCGTGCGTCCAATTTTAAGTTATATCAAATTTGATTTTTATAATAGTTGTGAAATGTTTAACACAGAAAAATTTTTTTTTATTATTTAGGTGGAGAGGCCGATAGTTTTGAGTTACAGACGCAAAAGCAAAATTTCTATAAAGGTAAATCTTTGTTATGCATAAAAAAAAAGAACAATTGCGATGCTTGAGTGCTAAATTATACGTAACCTTTTTTAGATTTTAAGGGAACTGGTAAACGTGGTATAGGTAAAGGCAAATTGACTGAAAGATTAATAGCGGAGGGACTCTTAACACCACAAATGTTACGTGAACTGCAACACGAATGGATTTTGTCAAAAAAGAAAAAATAGTATAACTGCATAGAGACGAAATATTAAAAGAAATTATTTTATTGTAAGAGCAAGGCCACTTTGAATTTTTTAAATGGAATCCCTCATTTTTTATTACTTGCTCTCACTTTGACAACGCTACCCAACGTTAAACAAATGATACCATCTTATGCTCTCCTCAAAGTCATAAAACTTTTGTCTGAACATATTAGTCATTTGACACACACTTTCAGAGATAATAGCTTGTAATACTTTACATGGGCCACCCTGTATAAACTAACCATTTCTCCTGTAAAAAGATGTTTTTAGTTCATATATAATATATAAACTTTGCACTCTGCAGATTTTATTTTCGAAAGTGGTTATACAGATATTGAACATTGATAAAATATATTGAAGATTCTTTTCTCGTTTCGTGCATTGACTAAATACCTATTTATTTTAATCAGTCATAATTCACTTTGTGTTTAAAATTTAGGATAAATATTGAATTACATACATTTATTTAATGTAAAATCATTAAAAAGGAAATTTTTGATATGTTTTAAAAATGTATATTATTGAATATAACTGTCGTATGAAAAAATTAATTTTATATAATGTACATAATGAATATAAAATCTTTGTACAATTTAAAAAAATTTGTGTAACTTGGGCTTATTCATGGTGGAAGGAACTCGGATGTAAACTTTTGCACATACATTTATAACAGTCAGAACGTGACATAATCCATGTGCCGCAATATTGTCACATTGTATATATATATTTGAATTAGACGCTATGTCACTTATTTTACTTATTATTATTTTACTTATTTTTGTGTTTTTAATTATAATTGCATACAATATGTAATATAATGAATTTATTTTTATCTTTTGCCATAATAAAAATTAATTTTCCGCAAGCTTCTTCCCACTTTAATATTAATGCTTTCTCTTTTGGAGAGCAATAAAAATATATTTTTCTGAATTCTTTTTGATCACATCATTTTTACATGTTTTTATTTGGCAAGTACTCATTTTGGTCTCTCAAGCTATTACTTTAAAATTACCGCGGTGGAAATATTTAAATGGTCGCATTCCCTCAACAGAAATTCAATACTATAGTACTGACTAATCACTTATTTTCAGTATTAAAAGTACTGTTAACAAAATAAGTGATTAATTGGCTAGTACTACTATTAAATTTCTAGAAGGGTTTGGAATCTGCGCAGAACCGTATGAAATTCGTCTCGAGACCGAGACACCTGACTTTCTTCCACCATGAGTTTATTATTTGTCAATAAATTTACCGTATATATACGAACTGAGATCCGATTCTGAAGTTCTACAAAAATGTACAGTTCTACAATATTTTAATTTACAAACACCGAATTATGTTCGTTATTCTAGTCCGCAGGTCATCTAAAGAACGAGATTTTATTGAATATAAATAATAGTCTGAATATAAAAATAATTCATTGAGCTTAAATGTGATAAACGTGATTATGGAATAATGTACTTCTTTCACTATTAAAAAAATTTTTATTTTTATAAATAGATCACTGAATATATAATAAATTTTATTAAAGTATATGTTTACAAATTAATTTTATCCTGTATAAACTAGATATGAAAGTTTAAAGCTTTATGAGAAGATTTTGTAATCATCTGCATAAAAAAAATAGGAAGTATTTTACACACATTTTAAATTTTATCAAGCCAATATATAATTAATTAGAAATTATTATATACTTTCATAGTTTCAATCATGATGGAATTCCACCATAGTTTCAATAGGGAATGAGCGTTATTATTGTTCTTCTGTTTTTAATAAAAATGTATTATTCGCTTGTGTGTCACATACAAAAAATGTCATATTATTTTTTACAATGTTATTCGTTTTTCGTCATATATATATAGATCAATAGTCACTTTTAAATGCATAATTCAAGTGACAAACATAAAAGAATGCAGATAGAGAGATTCACGGAATCCTATATCGACTATCAACGTAAGCGTATCAAACATTACATTTGTCGTCAATGTAGAATTATTTGACGTAAAAAGAACTCACAATCAGTACTTAAATATTAATGGAATTATTTGTGATCTGCTAAAGTTAAAGAAATATTAGCACATGGAGCAATCAGTTGGGATACTGATAAACACTGTTGTCCAAATTGTGGAAGGCCATTTGTTCGTCAATCCATTGACGACCATAGGCTATATTAGCATAAACGCCAGGAGTTCCATTCTCGCCGCAGCCAAGACCCCAGGCTACGATACCAGCTTGAACGTATTTAGCCGGATCATTCCTTAGCGGACACACGAGGGGACTTCCACCGTCGCCCTACAACGAAAAAATTTTAAAAAATTACCTAATCGCATGCAAAATAGAAAAGAACATGGAAGTTTCTTCACGGAAAATTGTAAGCAAAAGGTTAATCCTGTATTTAGCACCAGCTTACAAATAATTGTTCCAGTTTATGCTCTTTTTTTTAATACAAACAATAAGTAAAATATAAATTCCTGCTCAAAATTGTCATAACAATTAGATTTAAAGATAGGTATAAAAAAATGTGCAAAAGTAAAATCAAAAACATTTAATTATTATGACATAAAGTCCATTACCAGAAGTGTTAATATTAAAACAATATCAAATATATTGAATATGAAAGTATATAACGTTTCGACTTAATTTAGTTTTCTTCAGCCATAAAAAAACAAATAAAAATGAAAAAAATAATTTAAAACAATAAATTGAATGTTAGAAAGATCACAAATGAAAATTAACGATATCAAAGGTTAAACATTATAAAGAGAATATTAATATGAATAAATTAGTATTATGTATATTAAACTAATAAATCTTCATGTCAGTGAATAATTAAAATTAAATCCGGTACTGTTTCATCGTTCAAAAGCGAAAAAGTAGAGTCTATAGTCTATAATCGGAACATCGAGAGTTGGTGTAAAATCCTAAATTCTAAAGTAACTATAAATATGTATATATATAAATATATATTAGGTGTACAAATTAATTCGGTATTCTTTTTTAATGAAATTCAAAGTTATTTACACAAAGACAAGTACACATTTAATATTCGAAATAATCTCCAGTGTTTTCAATGACCTTACACCATCTTTCGAGCAATTGACAAATGCCGATTGACAATTCTGGAAGAAATTTGGTGGTTTTGACTTTCTGAAGTCATTAATGCTTTTTCAGATCTCGTCAACTCTTTTAAAGTGCTCATCAGCCAGGTGAAATGATCGAAATAGGTAGTAATCCAACGGGGCAAGATCTGGTGAATAAAGCCGTATGAGGGAGAACTTCTCAGCCCAATATATAGATAACGTCCTTAGTTTCTTTTGCGATATGTGGTCGATATGTTATCGTGCTGCAAAATCATTTGTTTGTTTCCACTGCCAGTATAAAGTCTCTTTTACTCCAACACATTGTGCAAATGAATAAGTTGTTGATATAATATTCTGCAATAACAATCTGGCCAGGATTCAATAACTCATAATGCATCACGCCCTTCATATCCCACCAAATACTCAGCAAAACTTTTTTTGCATGGATGTTAGGCTTTGAAGTCGATGTCGATGATTCGCCAGGATTTACCCACGATTTTCTGCGTTTAGGGTTGTCACATAATACTCAATTCTCATCACCAGTAATGATTTTGTACAGAAAATCTTTTCTTTTAAATCGGGTTAGTAATTCTTCGCTCCTTGTTTTCCGGACTCAGGTTGTGCGGAACCCACCTATTCTCCTTCTGAATTTTACCGAGTTGACGATGAGATATGCATTGTTAGATAACTCTGACATGAGTTGTAATGCAAGCTCTTGTTGAGTTTGAGCGTAGTTTTCAGCGTTTTCAGTCAACAGTTTCTTGAGTTCTTCGTCTTCAAATTTACGTGGTTCACCCAGACGTTGTCGAGATCTGAAAGGTTTCCATTCCGAAACCTCTGGTACCACTTTTTACACGTTTTATGTATTACAACGTCTTCACCCAGGGTTGCGTTCTAAAATTCAACTCTATCAACTCGAGTATTATTTTATCCTTGTTGATCACCGAATGTTGAATAAAGATAAAAAATACTCGGAATTGACACAGTCAAGTTTTGGAACGCATCCTAGGGTGGTACAAATCATTTCTGTAGCTTCAGCAGCATTTTTTTTAATTGAAATGCGAAAAAATGCAGTGCTTTAAATGCTGCTTATCCTGCTTATCAACTGCTATCGTGTTCACTGTTATTTTGTGAACTTACAATTAGTGATACATTGCACTTACAAACCGCAAAAAAGCAGGAAACTATTCAGTTTTAAAATGGAATTATAAGTCACGAAATGTAAAGACACCGAATTAATTTGTACACCTAATGTATTAATAAAAAATTATGTCAATATTATAAAAATAAGAAAAAAATATATTCCGTATATTTTTTTTTTCCTTATATTTGATATTATTTTAATACCAACATTTCTAATGAACTTGATAACTAATATCATAATAAATTAAACGTTTCTGATCTTACTTTTGCTCGTTCTTGACCTATCTTTTTAAATATAATTGTTATAAACAATAAAGTATGATTATAGGGGCAAGGAGAAGTTAGAAAACATTCAACGCTGAATTTATCACGCGGATTTTGTAAGAATAGAATCTTCTCGAACTTTGATTTCTCGATTCGGAGAAAATTTGGAAGTCTCTATAATTTTATATCTCTGAATCGTTAAAGTATTGTATATCGCTACATGAAAATAAGACTTTATGGAATTTTTTGAGTATAAAGAATTTCTGTGAAACACATTTCAAATTTACCTTGCAGGTATCTTTTCCTGCTTCTCCACCCGCGCAGATAAAACTTTTGTCTAGGAGAAAGTATCTTCCCAATCGGGTGGTACGCATAATGTCTTGACACGTATTTTGTTGTACTATGGGAAGCTCCACTTTCTTTAAAATCACTTGGTAACGTCCCTCTTTGCCTGTAATTAAATTTCACTGATTAAAATCCATATTATTATTATATTATATTCTTATATTATTACATCATATTATTATATCAAAATAATGAAAAGATTTAAAAAAATATAAATCAAAGAGATGAGATGCATATAAGAACACTAGTTTTTCGTGTGTTAAACTTTAATGAGAGAATCTAAATTAAATTTAATAATGTAAACGTTTCGATTCACAGTTTCGAGTTATCTTCAATAAATAATCGTCTATTCAAAGATTACATGTTCACGCAAATCATTATAGAAGTCTGAACTTATATAACGTCGTGACATTGAAATGATGTTAGTATCGTTGAACCAAATATTATTGTATCATTACTATTATTTAAATATTCAAGTCGATCTATATTATTATTAACCACGATTGTTAAACAGAGACAATTATTTAAAAAAAATTAATATATTAAGTTAAAGATATTATTGAGAGATTCAATCGATCAATATTTATTTCTTTGCACAACGCAACATACAAAAGGCGTACCGAATATGTCTTTTCCCCATCCGCTGGCGAAACATCTGGATCCGTCGAAGTTTGCGTTTATTTCAGCGAGACATATGATATCAACGTTCTCCGCGTACTCAACTGGAGTTTTCAGGATCAGAATAGCGTAATCGTTGTAGAGAGCACCGGAATGGAAGCCTTCGTGAACCACGACTTTCTCGATTTCGCGGTCTTGATGCGGATAGATTTCGTTCTTCGTCTGCGTGTCCCATTCTCCCGCACGAACTTTTAGCTCCTGTGGCTGCTTCCTATTTGATCGGAATGCACTGTTAATCTTCCACTAGCAATGTTGTCCTTTTAACGAGCAGTTGATGTTTTATTATGAATACATAGATTCAGTATCCCGCCTTCTAAAAAAACTTTGTAATGTTTAGATTGTGTATGCATGACGATGCCAGTATCCAATTGTTTCGTTGCAAAGACGAATAAAAGTACACGTGCTTTTAGCAATCCGTATTGCAGACAACATAAGATTTTATGCAAATAAAAATTTTGATTTTTTTTCGTGTTTTATATATGTTTTTGACGTTAATTGTAAGCATGTGTAAAAATATTATTTTTAAAAGAGATTTTTCAGTATTTTATATCACTTTTTTAAATGAATAAAATAAAATTTGTTAATGAATAAAAAAAAATAACGAACAAAATATTTATTCGAATGTACTTAATATGAACGAGAGCTGTTTATCCATACCCTGTTATATCAACAAACTTGAAATAAGTTTTATTAACTAAGGTTATCGAATAACTGTTTGTAAAAATGTTATTTGTTATCACAAACATATTCATTGCAAATCGATTACTGACCCATTGACGCAGTGAGCTGCAGTGAGAACGGCCTGCCTGTGAATAAGAGCTCCGCCACATTGATAAACATTCAATTTCTGGCCATTGCTGCCGATATTCTCTTCTTTCAAAATAGCCACCATCCATGGAAATTCGCCGAATTGGGCCTCATTATCGGTTTGACCAGTGATCCTGAAGCCGACTCCTTCAGCATGTCGCTGTCCACATCCGTTCCTACCTATTGGTTTTGGCGTGGATGGTGGCTGCAGATCCGGCGGTTTGCAGCAAACATCCAAATAATTATCGCATACCCCAAGAGCTCTAAATATTCCAAAATATAATTGTAAAAACGTGAGGCTCAATTATTTTTATTTATTTTATGATACAAATAGACGCGCAATCGAATTTATTCACATAAATAAGATATTACTTAATAGAAAAACAAGATTTGAAGAATATCTGAGAGAGATTAATGATATCTATACAGATTTTTTTCGCAACTTACCCTTTTAAACTTTAAATTTTGATAGCGTTTTATATGCAATGTTTTACTGACAATTTATTGAATTACTTTTTTTTAATTTGCTAAACATTGAGAAATCATCAATTTAAAATTCTTCTGTTAATTTAAAGTTCTTCTGCAATTAAAATTAACTAGAATATAAATTTAACGATATCATCTTGAAAACAATTTAAATATAAAGTGATTATTAAAAAAAAAAGCAATTGTAATTTTCAACAATTACACACTTCTTCTCCGACTTAATTTTATAATTAATTAATTAAATAAATATTAATTTTATGTGGTGTGACAATAAAATTAGAATATTATAAAAAAATATACAGCAATTAATTAATATACAAATGACGTTTGTTGTCTTTTAAAGTAATCCTCCCTAGAGACAATACACTTCTGACGTCTGCGTACAGTTTGCGGAAACTCTTTGAAAAATCATCTTTGGATATCGCTTTAAGTCTCGTTGTCATACGGTTCTGATTCAAAACATGTACAGCAATTCTTGAATCAGCGTTACCGTTTTGAATCTGTGACTACGTTTACATGGATGGATTTAAGCCGAAGTTATAATATTGATGTTATAAAACTGGCCAATCATAACTATTCCTCTAAAGAATGGAATGATTGTGATTGACAAGTTTCGTAACATCAATGTAACTTCAGCGTAAATCGAGCCGTGTAAACGTAGAGACTTATATTTTC